CACACACACACACACCAACACTCAGCTACATTCACACCACACTCACCCGCATCCATGCGCACGCATACATGTGAGCCTTTAGCTGTGCACCAAGCAAGGGTTGCATGTTTAGGCTTGCCAGCTAGTCTGTTCCTCTGTTTGGGACACTGGCAACAGTCAGTGGTTTTTGGGCCTGTGGACATAGGGTATGTGCTTGTTTGAGGGTCACCTTTCCACCTTGGCTTAGGAAATCAACGGACAACCGCCATTTTTGGTGTCCCATTTGACATGTCTTCGTCAGCGAACGACAGGAAGCCATGGCAGCGGACTCGGCGGCCATGTATCAGAGGATGTCCTTCGATCGGAATGGGGCGCCAGGCTTAGCCCTGCCGATGTGTTTTCTCTGCACGGGTGTGTCCATGGGTTTGGAATCAAGCTCTTACCCTCCTGTCCGCTAACATGGAACTTATCAGAGGGTCTCTTTTAAAGGAAAATCGTCTTACGGGACCCTCAGTCAGGTTCCATATTAGTTATTTGTAGTGTGTAGGAGGTCAATTGATGGTTTGGATTGGTGCAATTCCTTTGAACACCCGGAGGACACCCGCACCCTTTTACAGCAGGGTAGGCTGAAGGAACTGGGGGAGAGCTGGCGTTATCTCGTTACAAAGCCGCCACCAATCAAGTGTCCATCCTATTTTGACCAATCTGGTCCCCCCCCCCTCAGTTTGCTTGAAGCAAACAGCACCCCACATTTCCACTCACTCGTCAACCCGCACGGAGGCGGGCACGGGCGAGGAGGACGAGCAGATGGGCGAGGGAAAGGCGGAAGTTGCTGGCGGTTTTTCGAGTTTCCCGGAGCGAAATGGAGTAAAGAGCAGCGAGTGCCTTTTTTCGCGGGTGCCTTTTTTGGGGCTGGTTCATAGGGACACCAAACAGAGGCCACTCATTTGGGGGGCACTATTTTGGCACCGCTTGATGTGTGAAGCTTCCCTTGGGCTTGGGTGCTTCCGTGCGTGACAAGTCGTCATGTCAAGCACGGGTTTGCAGCGTTGTGCCAGCCCTAGACGCTTGTTTTGGCGGACAGACCCCGCTGAGCCGGATTCGAAGCCTGGGTCCTGGGTAAGTGAGGTTTCATGCGCTTATTTTATTCGAGGGGGTAGACTCCGGGTAGACGCCTAAGAAAACCAGGTCTTGATTCTGCCTCCACGTTTTCGCGCGTCCGCGCTCAAGAGCCCCAGGCCATCAATAGATTATTCGCTCCGCCAGAGTACAACGAGGCCTGGGCTTTGGGGGCGGGGGGAGGCCCTTTTTGTGGTTCGTTTAAAGAGACACCGAAGGGGGAAAGCCACAGTTTGGAGATCCCCCCCATCTTTGAAGCATGCCCTACATAATTCTCCAGACGTGATTCTGGATGTAAGCTCGTCAAGGATTCGGGAAAAAGGGTCGCACGGTGTGTTCTTTTTTTTCTTGCATTTCCCGCGCTGACAGGGTGTCAGCTACTACCAGGCCATTCAAAAAGCCGGGGCCCGAGCAAGGCTTGCTCTGGGTTCGAGAAGTACCACTTACCATGGCCAACAAAAAGACATGGGCCTCTCCTGAGACGTTTCAATGGTGTGCTCTTTTTCAGGTATGTCCAGGGTCGAGCCCATGTCGCGGTTGGAAACAACGGACTTCCGGTTGCGACTGGGAAGTCGCGGGCAGGAAGGCCCTGGGAACATTCCGTGGTGAGCTACTTGGAGAACAGGGATGCAGCACCTACCAACAGGGTTTTGTCCATGTTTCTCAGCCCAGGATTCCGATGTCACTTGAAGCTGCTCGGTTTTCTTGAGCACCTCCCCGCTAGGGACCTCGCAAAATCCGAGGCCAAGGAGGAGGCCAAGTGGCTCTTGGCTGGGCAGCCCATCGCATTTGAAGCGGGACGAAATCGGGGATCGCTTGGGACGGAAACCGGATTACCTGATTCGGTTGGTCGGGAAGGCAACTGGAGGAAAATAAGTTTTCATTTTCGGCTTGAAGCAAAGGTGAACAGGGTACCCTTCAAGGCCAACTGAGTCATTCGCCCCAGAAAACTGGCGACTCTTTTCATGGCACTCATCAGGGATGGCAATGAACAGGTTCGGAGTAGCAACCTCTACGATTGGGGTCCTCAATCTTATTGGACCAACGTAGACAGATCGACCCCGTAGGAGCCTTTGGCCGTCCGGGGAACATCGGCTTTCACAGGTAGGGCTTTTTCGGGGGTGTCGCAGATGAGTCAGCCTTCAAGGCTTGGTTGCCCTTTGGGGGACTTGAAAAAGCTCTTCGACCTTGGATCAAGCTTACCGATGGTATCGAGGGCCAACCAGGCTCAGTGCAGTGCGGTTGTTGTAGGTTCTTTGCGCAGATTCTGTCTCTCAACACAAGATTCGACGGTTTTTTCGAGCCAGAAGGCAACCCTGCAAAGAAGAAGGCTTTTGGAAGGTTTGTGGCCATGCGGGACGATGTGACTACAGCCCCAAGTTTGCTCTTTGTTTTTCGTGCTTGTAGCTCTCCTTTATGATGCCTGGGTCTTAATCACATGGTTTTCCATGGGTTTCACGTTGGTTTCCCTCAAGTCGTTTCCGTTTTTAGGTGGGATACCCGGAGAAAAAGCGGGGCGAACTGCGCGAATTGGACGAATCCGTTGATGTTTCTAAGGTGAATATCCAGCAGGCAGAGGTCTTTGCCTCCCACACGCTGAACAGGGACGTAGGGACCTCGGTGATTTGACCGTTGACGAGTCGGGGGCAGAAGATGTTTTTTTCCTTGGGGGTGGCAACGGGAGCTGTTGCGCAAAAACTGATGACTCTTTCTGACTCGCGATGTGTTTTTTCGGGTGGGCCAATATGAGCCAGACCCCTCCCATGGCATTTTTTGGAGTGACTTTGAGTCAGTGCTTTTTGTTCTTGGGGGAGTGTTGGGCGACCGGGGTGAGAAAATAAAAATCCTACTGGCGGCGCGGCAGAGGCGAAGGTCTGTTTTCCTTCTCACTCAAAATGCTCAGGTGTGACGGGACCGACGCTAGGCTTCCTTTTTGCCTTGCGCCTCGTAGTGCCCTCACGAATTGACGCCTTCTTGGCGATGGCCTCCTCACCAGACGCCATTCTCCATAGCCTCGAGCAACATCTAGCGCTCGCAGCCGATCTTGGCAGCAACAACTGCCAGGAGTACGCCAGTACAGGATCTCAACATCTCGTTGCAACAGAGGGCACACCGCGTTTGAAGAATGGAAGCGCAGCGCAAGATGGCAGCAGTTGTGGGGTGCAGAAGGTCAGATTTTGGCCACCAAACGACTTATGTCCTCGAAATAATATGGGAAGAGACAACCTTAGTATTGGGTGTTCTACCTTTAGTATTGGGCAATACTGCTTTTGACGTGGGAAAGAGGATTCCAGAGTTTCAAAAAGGTTGCCAGCCAGCCAAATAGATTAAACATGGGCGGGGGGAGGGATACACCTTTGCGAGTTTTTGGGGGTTGGGGGGAGAGCCGGACTAGTTCAGGGGCAACTTATTATTCTGGGGGGTGGGGGGTGGGTTTAGCAACTTTTTCAAATCGGCAGCCTTGGAATGGTTTCGCGCAGCTGCACCACAACCGGGGGTTATTACTCCTATGTTGGCCTTACCTTGGACATACCTTGGACTACAAGACCCTGCGTACAAATTATTGAGACAGGCAGAACAAGGGCAACCGGCAGTTACAATTGGCCGACTGGAACAAGCGGCGCCGAGCCAAGCAGCAGAGCAGTCGATGCAACTAAGCGCAATGGACCGAGCAATGCGCAAGGCAGCAGATCTAAAGCATGCTCCGATACTCAACGCCGCTTGGGTCGCGAAACATTCGGTTACAATGTCACGCGAACCTGAGCCTGATGAGAGCAAGTTTGAGGAGTGCTTTCCACCATGGGAGTTCCAACTCGCCAAGTACGCACAAGACAACAACACGCTCACCAGCGGTAGCACAGAACTCTTGTATCAAAATGGCCAGAAAAAAGAAGAAGAATCAAGATCTGCTCTAAACATAGGCTGCCATCGTATCGTTCACTCGAAAGTGACCCTTTGCTCGAAAGCACCGTTGCAATGCAGCCTTTGAATCCTCTCGCGTGATTTTTCGGATGGCTGTCCGCCAGCTTCGCCTTCCTTGTCAACTTGGGCACGCGGGTTTGCTTTCTGGGAAGCAGCCGATTCGCCGGCGAGGTGTGGAGCGACGACACTGTCAAGGACATCATTCAAGGTTCGTTTCTTTTTTGGTCCAAAGCTCAGGTTGAACGTGTGTGCCACAAAGACGTGCTTCCTTGGGGTCACTAGGAATGGATCCTTGCCGGCAGGATGGGCATTGCAAAGATTGCAAGGGAACCAAGGGAGTTGTGTCAATGACTCATGTGTGTATCCTGGATGTTTCCATGCGGGTGCACGGTTCTCCAAGCGATGGGGTCACTGGCTCACGCGGATTTCAGCGGAAAATAGTGGACGCCCACCTCGTTCCAGCTGCCAGCATTTGGGGATGTTTGCTTTAGTGACTTGGGGGTAGTGGAGGCCCCTTGCATAGCCGCATCATGGATATGCCCGTGCTCGATTCAAGGCAGCGTGATGATAAGTCGACGGAGGGCGACCAGTTCTGCCACCTCCATCAGTGTGGGTCTGTGGCTCAACAAATTCTGTCGAAAGATCCGTAGCCGGGAAAAGACAACATTCAAGCGGCCAGCCGTTTCTGATCCCCTATTTGAAGAGACACCTTCAGGAAACCATCATAAACTTTGATAATTGCACTTTGAGGCACCAGCTGCCGCACATCTGCGTCATTGATCCTCGGACCGGCCGGAGGGTGAAGGAGCGCTGCCTGCATGCGAGCCCGCGGAAGGGATTGAACCAATGGGTGGTGTGTGTGTCTGTGTGTGTGTGTGTGTGGGCGTGTGGGTGTGTGGGCGTGTATGTGTGGGTGTGTGCGTTCCGAGTGACAGTATACCCTGTCTTACCGCACGCAACGAAGCTGTGGGCGAGAGTGGGAAGCAAGGCCGGAAGGCATTGTGTACCTGCAAGTGCTATTACAGAGCTTGGTTTCCCGTAAGGCTGTGTGTGCTTCGCCCTGTCTAATCCAACTGCAGGCGGGCCATCCGCATACCTTGACTGATGGTCCATCGAATGGGGTCAACGCAATGTGCTGAAATCGACGCTTTTGGACGCAACTGCAATAATGCAATGTGTTTTTCAGCTGTTTTCATGAAAGCCAGGTCTTGAGTCTTGGCAGGATTCGGTTAAACGTGCATCGCTGTGTTTCTCTGGGTGTATGGATTAGATTGTTTCGCTCTATTTCTTGGAGCTCTCTCGTTATATTCCTTCAAGCAGAGAAAGAAAGCCACAGATGTGGAAGCCTCTGTCACCATGTCCTGAATTTGGGGACCCCTTTACAAAGTGCTGGAAGGACCTTGCATTACCTTTCAGCTCAGCAGGGTTCCGAGCTGCGCCAGAACTGGGACGGCCGCAAGTGGGTGGAGTCCCATGCCGCGGCGGAGTGCCGGCCCCGGTTTCTCGCGGCGCGCGCCGCGCGCGCGGCGCGCGCGTCACGAGAATTTCGGGGCGCGGGGTGGTTCTCAGTGCAAAGACGTGGGGGGGTTTCCTTTGTTCCGTTTGTTTCGAAGATTCGAGGCATAAGACATGTCCAAGAAGCCCATTGGGGCTGTGAGTTTCTGATTGGTACGTTTCCCTTTTGGCGGTGACCAAAAATCAAGCACACCGCTTCCACTTCCAAGCGCGTGCAAATGCTCCATTTGAAGAAAGGCACTTTTGGTGCAAAGAGAAACCAGAAAGAAACAAATATGTTTGGGTTGACACATTCAAATGCAGCATTCGTCCACTGTGCGAGCTGCGACCTGAGAGGGCTGCTGCAAGATGGACCAGTGACATCGGTGGAAGGCATCCTTCGCAACGAATGAGCATGTGTTTGCTGTAGGGCGCAGAGCCATGGCTTGGCAAAGCTGGAGTACGTACAACCCTTGGAGGGAATTCATCGGGTTTTCACTGCAAGCACCGATTCCGAAAGCAAATGAATCTCATGGGTTTGTCTCGTGGACCCAGAAAGGATTGTTTTCTTTTGGTTTCCACGGTGTGTCTTTTGGGGGGAACCTTTGGCTGGTCCCCCAAAGAAGGACAAACCAAAACCAAAATCTTCGGGAGACGTCTCAGTCCGAGGTATCTCCTTGGCTTCCTGGATGAGTTTTCCATGTCTCGGCGCGGGCCCCGGGGGAAGGGTACTTTGAGAAAAGCGGAACGCCATCAAAGCAGGTCCTGCTTTGGCGAAAAATCGGATATTGGCCTGTGGGATGTTTGAAGGGTGTCACTTGGTCTCTTTACTTTGAAGGAATTGGATGTCAACATCCAACCTGCCGACCCCAAAAAGTCCGCTCTGGCCCGGACGAGCTTGCCAGATTAAGGGAAGGAACACGCAACCTAAATTCAACTGGACAGCCTTTCCCACTGGGCAAATTAAATCGCGACCTCACTTTGCGCGGGAAACCGACCTCATAAGGTGCTTGACTTGGAGAGTCCTCATGCGTACCGTGCTTATGTTGGGTTTGGCTTGAAACACGCTTTCTACAGTTGCGACCCCAAGTGCACAGGGTCGAACATTGGTACAGTAGATGGACAAATTAATCTACCGCCCAACACCTTTGCAAACGGGGAATAATCTTGAAATTGGGGGCGAGGGGGGGGGGGGTTACATTTGTAAGGGTTTGCCCGGAGGTCGCCGCCTCCGCAGTCTCCCGCGGCGAGCCCTACGGCACGCCCGCAGGCCTGGGCGCCGAGGGCGGAGTCCTTTTTTTCCTCCGCGTTTCGGACCATAGATTCAAAATGATCCAAAGATGGATCACCTGAAGAGGGGGTTATGTTGAGAAAGCCTTTGAGGCATAATGGATCACTTCAAAAGGAAAACAAGCGGGGATTAATCCAGCTGTCCGGCATCGACGGATCGATCACTGGATGTGTTTCGTGATTGTATAGATGGGATGCCTTGGGTAAAGTTGAAGCCTTGGCAAATCTTGGCAATCTCTTTTTGTAACTAGTGGCCAGGTTCTGTTTGCTCCCTTGAGTCGAGACTCCAGAAATCAGCCCTTGGCCTGCTTGGTCGGGCTGCGATTGTTCGTGTCAATGAGAAAGATACAACGTGGACCGGTTATGTGTTTTGATTTACAACCGCACGAAGCCCTCCAGAATTTCGTTTTCTTTGATAGGCTGACCTTTGCAAGGCTGCCTGCCGAGTTTTCAGGTCTTTTTGGCAGCTTCTCAAAGCTTCCACTTGGGCCACTTGACTCTTGCAATTCCAGAAATGGGTGGCCCTTTTGTGTCGAGCTTTTGCCCAGGAAACGCTTCTCCCCGGCAAATTCGGCGTGTTCTACTTTTCTTTTCTCTCAAACAAGTATTGAGGATGCATGGCTTACAATAATTGAATACAGCAAGTACATAGTTATTTGTTTCTAGTCAGTGGTTCAACTATTCCATCAATGGTAG